AGACAATTAAGACGAATAAAATAATAAATAATTAAATAGTTAGAACTAATTCTTGTATTAACTTATTATTTTATTTATATTCGTGTTGTCTCTAAGTCACTGTTAGTTTTAACCATTTAATTGTTTATTATTTTATTTAATATTTGTGCTGTATTAACTCAATGATTATATACACCGAACTGTTTGGAACCTACGTTTATCTTACCTAATAAAACATCCCAATTAGAGGCGAAACGTCGGCGTTGGTTCTACAAATATAAATCTTCCAACCCTTGACCACCTAGATTCTTCACTTATTCCTATAATTTTAATTTTCCTAAACCGTTATGACATGTGCTTTCAAAATAAGAACCAAAATTTATTGATTTAAAGAAAATAATGTTTATGCTAATAAAAATAGGAATAGAGATATAAATCAAATTTAGGTTGGCTGGGAATCCTAGAGAGAAAACATTTCTTAAAGGACGTGATATCATTAGACTCGATGCAGTGACTTAATTGGTAGGCTGTTCCATCAGGAATTCATAAGTCTGTTCTCTATAAAGTTAGCGTAAGCTGCTGCTATAAAATGTTCCTTACGGAATTTTGCCACGGCAAACTGAAAGCCTGTCTGCACTTCGGTTGAATGGTTCAGCCTTGTTGGGTTAAACGTGGAAGGCTTTAAAGATCTTAAAGATTTTAACCAAGTCAAACACCGCTCTCCTACATTCAAGGCTCGACAGCCCAAGTATTCGTCCTTATCAGTTTCCCGTTGGGTATGAAGAAGGATTTTCTGAGCAATTACAACACTGGGTTGACCTTAAAGGGCTAAAGCGCATATGGAATGTCCATGAATTATCCCCGTTTAGGCAAAGTACCCTACACTACCCTAAAGAGCAAGAGCCAAGTGGATTAACATTTCGCGATGGTCAAGACCCTATTGACGATCTTGGTGTGCTATGAGGGTATTTGCATATGGTTTGGTGTTATCCGCGAAGTAGTTCCAATTGGTCAGATGCCTGAAGATTTACATTAGCGTACAGGGTGAAACATAGTGGTCGAAAACATCGACCCCTGTGGATTGTAGCATATTAATTACTTACTTTACGTTAGGTTAGGTTTGGTTGACTATTTAGACCATTTGCATTCAAATATTGACCTCTCATAGAAATACGTACTGTTGTATGCATGAAGCGCAACATTCTGTGGCAGTTGCTTTTGTGCATTTAAGAACAATACGGCTTTTGATATATTGCAAATGAGCTCTGTTACTTTTGCTATCTGTCTATTAAATTGAAACGAAACTGCGAAGAGGAAAAGCGTTTTCCAGTCGCTCATTTGTTTTCACTTTGATATCAGATGCTCTGGCTGGAAACTCGCAAATTTTATTAAAATCTGGTTGTTCTCATTTATGTGTTTTCTCGCAAAGAAAAAATTAATTTAAGAAGAACTGTGAATTTTGTTTTTATAAAAAAGATGGTTCGTTAACGTATTGTAATGAAAATAGAAAATTAATGAAAAAGATTTTCAACCCAGATAATATCACAAAAAGCAGTGACGATGTTACCTGAATAAGATGACAAAGAAAAGAAAAGCTATAAGTCCACATGAAAAATGATATTTTTTAATAATGAGATAGGTTTTCTTTAAATATTTGCTAGGAAGTACGAAGACGTAAAAGAGACATTCATTCTTTTTACGTAATATCGTAATGCAAAATAGATTTATTTCCCAATTAAAACTATTAATTTTGTGTTACGTAACACAGAATTTACCGTATTTATCATATAGGTACCACTAAGTACACAAGATAAAACATTTTTGTCAATATCGGATATTTCGTAATTTTACAATCTTTTATTTAGTTTAGAGTTATTTGAGCAATTCAGATTGATTTTTTACCAGAATAAAGAAAGAGATCAGTATAACAAGTACGGTTTCACGCAATATAGATTTAGGAAGCCATATAATCGTAAATATAGGTATTTAATCTCAAACAACTTAACTATACATAGATGTGATGGGTTTTTTTATACGTGGTATTATTAATTAGGAAGTTTTGTCTAATTTTGTCTTGTCTCGGTCTAATTTCGCAAGATCAAGATTTAGCGATGNAACCGGGTACGACAGTCCTAGTCCAAATTTTTCTGGGTTTCCTTGGATTGTTTAGACAACTTGATAAATTTTGACTTTTCATTTGTCGGTCGACAATTCATAAAAGGAGACTGAAGACGGTCTTCCACCCTATCCTCCGGATTTACACTAGAATATAGTTCGGAGGATTTTAGGTTTGTGACGTGCAGACTCACAGACGAATGAACAGCCAGTTGAAGTAGCAATTATTATAAAAACTGTGTATTACACAAAAAAGAGAAATTTTACGTCTCTATGTCCTACTTAACGATGCGTACCGTATATTTTATTGTATTTAACCGTCATTATGCATAGAAGTGAACACTTTAAACAGGAGTTTAAGCGTGAAGGTTAAAGGCATAGCAGTTATTTTGATACAATTAGCAAAAATATTGCTTCACCGGTCAGCGATGAATCTACAATTTTTTTCTTGAAACTGTATATCTCCTTTTGTTTAAAAATATAATATACAAATTCGAGATAAAAAACGGATATTTAACTTATAACAATAAGTACTTTGTGGATAAAGTTTAAAACGCAATGAACAATATGTTCCATGTATTTTTTTATTTTAAACGTTACTGTCAATACCCTACCATACACGTGTGTTACTTTACCAGGGACATTCAAACTGATGACCACTGACCCTTTATTAGCTCACTGATGAGTAAACGATAAGCATGTTTACGTATTATAGTGTCCAATATATTGAATGTCTGCATTATTTTTACATATCACTAGACAATTAAGACAACAAGAAAAATATAAAAAAGCAAAAAATTTCGAAACGTTCAGTTATAATTATTAACTTAACACTATCAGGGTTGCAAATATTGTGAAACACTTCTAATTAATATAAATAATAGCAAACACTGCAGATAATTTCACTAAAAATGTTATTAGAAAACTCCTAACAAGTTTTAAGGTCACGCGGATAGAGTTTTTATGTCAAAGTATTAAAACTAGAACAGCTCTACTTATCGCTAACAATTGACAAGAATGAGTGGGAAGTCAATAAAACTTAATTCTACTTGATTATTTTCGAGGTTTTTATTGAGCCTAAGAGCCTTTTTGGCTTCTATGCTTTCCAAAAAAGAAGCTTTTTACTTTTATTTACACCACCGTACAAGATTACAATAGAGTTTTCATTTTAATTATGATTCAAAGAGGCACAATATTCGGAGAAGCTATTTTTTTGCCTTTTTATTTAATACAGGCCATCATCATCATATCATCATAAGGTCGTCAGTCCTAAGACTGGTTGGACACGTACCTCCACTCTTTCCTATCCTGAGCTAAACTTCGNCTTTTTCTTTTCCACCGTATATATTACGCATTAAAAATAGAAGTTCTCCCCTTCTTAAGAACTGGAAATATTATTATCAAGCAGGCACGTGACTATTTTTTTATCTTGTAGATTTAAGGGCTATCAGCTCTAAAGTATTACTTACAAAGGGCTGCGTCATTCTCTTCCTTGTACAACAACTTAGAGCGGTTTAGGGCGGCTGTTTGAAATAGACTTATTGAAATAGACCCCGTTTTTTATTTTTATTTATTTATTGAATAGAAAACGAATGATAAAAAGGTTTTGTAATTTCTTAAGAACGTACATACCTGCCACACAAAAGTAGTCGACAGTGATATTTCCTAATCCTAGTGTGCTGGCACCTGGGCAGTCTTTTGTTAATATAAAACTGCAGTGGTTTACTCCTGAACATCTGCAACGAAAACAAAATCACAATTCGAGTACATTTGTTTATAAAATAACCAAAATAATTGTAGTAAATATACAAAGTGTAACACCGCTACATTTTAATAATAAATAATAGGTAACTACATTTTTCGAAGCGGAAAAAATGTAAAAATAGGAAACAGAGAAAAATTAATTAGCGAGTTTTAATGACCGCCGAAATTAAACGTCGTAAACTTCCATTGTAATAACTTAAATTGAATGGCTCGAAAACTTTTAGCGTCATTTTGCTAAAAGCAGTTTAAGAATTACGAGCGAAATCTTTTCATCTGTCAAGTTGATTAATGGACTAATTTCCACCCTCTTATATGCGGCTGTTTCTATTGTTATGCGTACATTTCTACCCCCTAAACTCCCCATTTAGTAGGTTCACGTTTTATTTAGATAATACTCAGTCCATGACCTAGACACACTTCCGAATCATTTTGAGGGCGAATGTAAATTGTACCAAATTCGTTGACGTTAGCTTCTCCAAAAGACGCGCAAGAATGTTAAAAAAATCCTAAAAATATAAGAAAATCATCAATTATGTTGTCTTTAATATTTTTGATTACCTACGACATTCTTTTCTGCACTAAGAATGGTGAAGTATTATCACTAATTTGCAGTTTAAAATCTACGCATAATAAAAATTATCACGATATTCCTAATTGATATCAATTTATTAAAACTTTCACACAAGTAGATGACAACGATGACGGGAAATGAGCATGTCTCCTCTTCTGCCTCAACGTTAAGTAAACGAACTGATGCTGTACAGTTTTGTCTCGAAATCGATTATAACACAATATTTTAGTAAATATGCGGGTGAAATCGCGTGAATAGTTTCGAAACAAAACTGTCTTTTTTTTTATAATTTCAAAAATAGTCACTCGTAGGGTGTTCCATGGAACAGAGTCTTTGACTTTCCAAAATACTTCCACTTATGATGAGAGGTGAGGTGTATGTTTGCAGCATGGCGTTGTACGGGTGCGAAACATGGACAATGGGCGCGGCGGAAAAGAAAAGGTTAGAGGCGTTCGAAATGTGGTGTTATAGGCGGATGATGAGAATATCGTGGGTAGAAAAGGTTAGAAATGAAGAGGTATTGGAAAGAATAGGAGAACAGAGGACTCTATGGAAGACAATAAAAAATAGGGGAGATAGGTTGATAGGACACCTTCTCAGGCATGAAGGTCTAGTCAGACATATTAGAGGCAGAAACAGGAGTTAGGAGGGGTAGAGGTAGACCTAGTAGACCTACTGTTCGCAAATAGTTAAGGATATGGGTTATTCTGGTTTTAGGGAAATGCGAAGTTTAGCTAAGGATAGGAAAGAGTGGAGGTACGTGTCCAACCAACTGACGACCTTATGATGATGATGATGATGAGAAACTTTTGTTTTGATTTTTTCTCACATTTTTCATGACAAGAGTTTTCTTTTATGGTTGGAGAAATAACCGCGTTTAGTTAGTTAGCCATAACATTTACATTTATAAGCCAGAGTATGGCGCCAAAAGAAAAATTGGAAAATAAACTTAAATCGTTATGCATCCGTGAAAATAGCAAAATCGTACATAAATAAACACAGCAACGTTGATTTAGCTGTAAACGCAAATGACGAAAAAGCGACTGGTATAAAAATAGAATAGAAATTACTCAAACGTCAGTTATTTACGTCACTAAAATAAAATTTCATTAATTTCAAATGGAAAATTAGTTGTAAAAACAGAAATAGTAAAACATTCATAACTCCGGATCGGTCAGAAATTAGGGGTATTTTTTGGGTAGACTCATGGGTCCTTTACGTTCTCACCCTGTATACAAAGTCTATAGGTATAAAGTTGTTGTATTTGCATGGGGCCAATTGAGGAAACTTTAGATGCAAATCTAAACTCACGTTTAGGTGTTTTTACTAACAAAATTTTAATGGGTAATTGCCTAGCTAATTCTAGATTTGGGTTAAGATAGTCACGCACAATTCTACTAATAAATTTGGAGGTAACTTAAATGTGGTAATTGAAATCTAGAAAGGTACTGCCTACAATTATATTAAGGATGTTTGGGAGCTACAATCGGAGACAAGAGTACATAAAATTAGAAATTCGTGATTAATTAGGTTTTGCAGCATATCATGAGGTAAATAAATACTATCTATACTAAAAGAAAGTATACGGTTTGAGAGAAAATTTGGAATTTGACCAAACACTGAATAAAATAAGAAATAACGAATAATACGGAAAATTTTTAACTGACTTCTGGCAGTGAATATGCCCTGATTTCAACTTCGAAACAAAAAAATATTTAGTTTCAATCTCTATTAATAATGAGCGTAAAACTATTTAATATGTTTAAATAATAATTGAAACTTTAAAATTGCATTTATTTCAGACAATTATAAATGTTGTCATTATATTATCAAGTAAAAACGAGATTTTCAGCTAATTTTTCATTTTTTCCTCGATAACCATTTAGTGAATTTGAATAACCTTACCCTAAAGTGATTCTTCAGAGTTCAAGTTACTTATTATAAAAGTTTGAAATTTCTGGTAGCTTTTTCTCTTCACGTGTGAAGTTACAATTTTTTAAAATTTCAATAACTTTTTAACGGTTTATTGAATCGATTTGTAATTTTTACAGGAGTTGTAGAATTGAATGAGGAACGTTCTTTCAAATTTTTATTTGTCTCGTAGCATTCTGACATACCTCCCATACATCCTTAACTTTCGACTTGAAGCGTTTTATGGTAGGTACATAACTTTACAATCATTATAGTGGTGTATTTATGTAAATAGTTTATCTACTTTTTCATTAATCTTTTTCACAATCCTAACTAACATTATAGATGCGAATTTGAATTTATTTATTTGTTTGTTTATTATCATTTCACTTCTTCATTGTCAGGGATACAGAAAAGGTCATAGGATACCTTTTATCCAGAAAAAACTACTGTGCCCGAAGGATAGAAAAATTAGTTTTATGTGATCGTATTTTAATAAAAAAGCAGACATTTTAACAGTGTTATTTCAAGAATTTTTTTTTTGTGTTTGATATGGCACAATCTCTTTTTATTTAAATGAAACTAACTGGATATTCTAGGGATTCGAAATTTATGTAGAAATGTTACTTTTAAATATAATTACACCCTCTTTTTAATGCCTAAAGAAGATGGTGAAGAGACTGTTTACAACCAGGGACGGATTCGGAAACAATTCATGGGTAGCAGGGATTAAGATTTTCGTAAAATCTAGAATAGTATTCGCAATGTTTAAAAAAATTAAAAAAAAATTGATCTTAATAATAAAACAATTAAGATGAAATAAAAATGTTGTGAATCGTACTCATTCAAGTGTTTTCTCGAAATTATAGGTACAGATTTAAAAATTTGGGTTTGATCCCTATTTAAATGGGCACCCTAGTTGGCGAGTCCCTTTTGGCGGGCTCGGACCAGGGGTACTTTTGTCCCTCAACGTCGGCCGTGCTTGTATGTGGATATAAAAAACTGGTATTCTGTCTTACAATGCTACAAATAGCCAAAGTTATCAGACAGACAGAAATATCGATAGAAATTACACCACAAATGAGAAAATTTAAGAAGTTTTGCCTAAAATTAGTATTTTTTATTAACATTCTTTTCATTCTGAAAATGATAATAAGTTTGTCTCTGCATTCTGTATCTTAAAAAAGTTAATACACTTTTGGGTTTAAGAAAATCTTTATTCATGGGGGTCTTTATTATCAATAATTTTAAAAGATCTTATAGAATTTTTAATGCAAGTGGTCAAAAAGATTTTTTTTGTTTTGAAGCATAATTCTCCTAAAGAAGAGGGATAGTATTAATAACACCCAATAATTTTCGAAAATTATGTATATAAGTTTTGCTTCTTCTTCTTTGGTTGTTATACAAACAAATTGTTATGTTATTCGTGTTTTTTAATAGTACGTCTCTTTGAAAATTGGTAATAACGTTTTGAAATTATTTTGTGGATAAGTTGGCTGCATTGAATAAAATGCTTTTTGTTTTTTGCTATAGTTACATAAAAACAAAAGCGCATCCATGAAGAACCATTGCGAATATTGTTCAATTGTGTGTCCTTTACTGTAACTTTTGTTCGTAAGCGTAAATGTGCTGTATGCATGAAGTGCAACATTCTGTGGCAGTTGCTTTTGTGCATTTAAGAACAATACGGCTTTAGATATATTGCAAATGAGCTCTGTTACTTTTGCTATCTGTCTATTAAATTGAAACGAAACTGCGAAGAGGAAAAGCGTTTTCCAGTCGCTCATTTGTTTTCACTTTGATATCAGATGCTCTGGCTGGAAACTCGCAAATTTTATTAAAATCTGGTTGTTCTCATTTATGTGTTTTCTCGCAAAGAAAAAATTAATTTAAGAAGAACTGTGAATTTTGTTTTTATAAAAAAGATGGTTCGTTAACGTATTGTAATGAAAATAGAAAATTAATGAAAAAGATTTTCAACCCAGATAATATCACAAAAAGCAGTGACGATGTTACCTGAATAAGATGACAAAGAAAAGAAAAGCTATAAGTCCACATGAAAAATGATATTTTTTAATAATGAGATAGGTTTTCTTTAAATATTTGCTAGGAAGTACGAAGACGTAAAAGAGACATTCATTTTTTTTTACGTAATATCGTAATGCAAAATAGATTTATTTCCCAATTAAAACTATTAATTTTGTGTTACGTAACACAGAATTTACCGTATTTATCATATAGGTACCACTAAGTACACAAGATAAAACATTTTTGTCAATATCGGATATTTCGTAATTTTACAATCTTTTATTTAGTTTAGAGTTATTTGAGCAATTCAGATTGATTTTTTACCAGAATAAAGAAAGAGATCAGTATAACAAGTACGGTTTCACGCAATATAGATTTAGGAAGCCATATAATCGTAAATATAGGTATTTAATCTCAAACAACTTAACTATACATAGATGTGATGGGTTTTTTTATACGTGG